AACCACAACGAATGTGGCTTCTGCTGTACAGACAGAACCGAATGCTGTAAAATGGACGGCAGGAGGATCAATAAATCCATACGGAGCTATTGCAAAACAGAATCAGGAGACGACATTTCACACACATCACCTAAGGAAAATATTCCTCACGCACTAAAACCAGTTAAGAAGCAGAACAAAGTTATAAGTGAGCACTCCAAACAGACTTAAATATCCTCAAAGAAGCATGTGAGCATATGTAAAATATCTTGAATCAGAAATTCAAAAATGCAAATAGAAATCGACAAAAATCGGGAGGAATAAAAAGTGTCAACTGAACTCAGGAAAGGAACAAAAGAAAGAGACAAAATCATCTCAGAAATAAATAAATCACAAGGCACCCCAGGGAGAATAGATTGGAATAAAAATTTATTAAAGGGCCTTAAAGAAAATCAAGAAAATAATGAAAAGAATGAGAAATGACATAGAGAAATAAAGAAGGAGTAATATTCCTATTATTGGCATGCCTGAAATAAAAAACAAAACAATGAAATGGAGCTAACACTTAAAACTTAGGTCCAAGAAAACTTTCCAGAAATAGAAAAATACCTGAGTCTACATATTGAAAAGACTCACTGGATACCTGGGAAAATTAACCCAGAACAATCAATTCCAAGACATACCCTAGCAAAACTATTAGATTTCAAAGAAGAAAGATAAAAGACCTCCAGACAAGAAGATCAAATAATTTACAAAGCCAAAAGAATTAGACTCTCATTATGTTTTTCTTAAAAACCAATACATATAGCAAGATAACAATGGAATCGTTTTTTTTAAAAAAACTCAATGAACTGGACTGGCCGGTTAGCTCGGTTGGTCAGAGCGTGGTGTTATAGCACCAAAGCGAGGGGTTTGGATCCCCTTACCAGCCAGACCTGCACCCTCCCCCGAAAAGCCTCAATAAACTAAAGTGTGAACCAAGAATTTTATATCCAGCCAAGCTGTTTTCATGCATCGAGGAATTTTCAAATACAATAACTTACTGAATTCTGCACCTATCAGATTGCATCTTGAGGAATCTACTAGATGATATATTTCATTCAACGAAGTGATGACTGGGAAAACTTTAGCAAAAGGACTGATGATGAGGATTTTAAAATATGTAAATGTACATCTAAGACTAAAATAAAGGTGGGGTGGGGGGCAAAGATGGAAGGCCAATATACAAAGTTTATTTTGTTTAATAAAGTAGAAATCATGCATCTAAAAAATTGGGAGGAGAAGACAGAGAAAGAGGAAACTAAAACAAGCTCATTGTTGTATAGGCAATAGGTGGGTGTTAAAGGATATTGGGAAGAAAAACATCTTTATAAACCAGATAGTGAAAGATTCAATAAGAAAACAAGGGGCTAAACACTTTTTTTTTAAAGTTATGAAAACAAAGCTGCTAGAACAAAAATACAAACCTTATTAAAAGAGAAAGAAGCATAGCAAATATAACAGAACACATAATTATAAAATGTCGTGACAGAGTTAAGACTGACCATATCAATCACATCAATAAATGTGAATGGGCCTACCTCACCTAGTAAAAGGAAAAATTTTCAATTTGGCTCACAAAACAAGACCTAAGTATATGCTGCATACAAGAGAGGCATCTAAAACAAACAGATTCAGAAAGGCTAAAAATAAAGAGATGTAAAATTCGAGTCCAAAAACATTACACATGACAAAGAAGGAAACTTTTTTATGCTAAAGGCCAAAGTTCACAGTGAACATATGGCACTTAGAAATATACATCTACTAATACTACAACCATCTTTATGAAGCAAAAACTAAAGAAAATCCAAGGACAAATAGAGACACCCTAATAACAGGAGTCTTGACTTGTACAACATACGTTAAGTGGATGAAAACTAAAAAAGGACATAGAAGGTATGACAACATAATCAATAAAGTACATCTTATGAATATTTATCAAACTCTACACCCTGATAATAAAGAATACATCTTCCTCCCAAATACCTATGGGACAATTGCAAAAATTGATCATATATCAGGTCATAGAGAAAACATCAGTAATTTCCATAACGTAAAAGTACTACAAACAACATTCTCTGATCACAATGCAATAAAATTACTGACAAAAACAAAAAACAGAACAGCCCCTTCCACCTGGAAGTTTAAAAACTTTCTATAAACGACTCTTGGGTAAAGGGAAATACAAATTGAAATTACAGAACTTAAAATATAATAATGACAATGAAAATACTACATATCAGTCAATGAGATGTATTTAAAGCACTGATAAGGGAAAAATTCATTGCACTAAACATATTTATCGGTGAAAATAAAAGAAATAAAATAATGAATTAAATTACCAACTCAAAAAACTGGAAAAGAAAAATAAACTAAAAAGCACAAAGATGAAAATAATAAAGTTAGAAGCAGAAATTAATGAAGTCAAGAATAGAAAAAGGAGCAATCTAATGAACAAGTCAAAATCCTAATTCTTAAAAAATTAATAAACTAGACAAGTCAACAGCTAAATTGATCAAGAAGAAAAAGGGAGAACACATGGATATACAAATGACAAGAGGGAAATAACCACTGTAACAGAAGAAATTTTAAAAATTATAAGAGACTGTTTTGCAGACTTCTATGCAAATCAAAAATGCATGAAATGGATCATTTCCTAAAGAAATTCAGATCACCAAAATCGATCCCATTAGTTACAAAGCGTAAACATACCAATTTCCATAGGAAAATTTATTAGGGAAATATAACATGAAAAAGTACAAGGCCCAGATGATTGTATCGGGAAAATTCTACTAAACCTTCAATGATTAGATAGTCTCAGTGCTTTACAAATTATTACAGAACATTGTAAAGGCAGAAAAACTTAATTTCTTTTATGAAGAATAGCACTGCTNTTATTACAGAACATTGTAAAGGCAGAAAAACTTAATTTCTTTTATGAAGAATAGCACTGCTCCCTAAATCTGATAAAGATGGCACACAAACAAACAAAAAAAACCCCAAAAAACTACAGACCAATATCATTCATGATTATTGATGCAAAGATATGAAAAAAATGCTAGCAAACAGACTTCAACACTGCACTCAGAAAATAATACACCGTAGTGCTACAACATTTGTGTCTCCCTTCTCTTCCCAATTCATATGTTAAAACCTAATCCCCAATGTGAGAGTATTTAGAGGTGGGACCTTTGAAGGGCTCTACCCTCATGAATTGCGTTAGTGCCTTTATGAGAGAGGCCCCAGAGAGATTCCTTGCCCTTTCAGCCACATGAGGACACAGTGAGAAGATGGCCATCCAGCTATGAAACAGAAAACGGGCCCTCACCAGACACTGAAACTGCCAGCATCTTGATCTTGGACTTCCCACCATCAGAACTATGAAAAATAAATTTCTGTTGTTTATAAGCCACCCAGTCTATGCTACTTTGTTATACAACTAAGATCCATAGACAAGTGGCTTTACTCCAGGAACGGATCAAAAAGAATAATAACTGCGATGGATTGAAACACATCAGATATGTTAATATCCACAAATTCATGATGATATTTTTTTCTCTCCCGGTAAACTTCATTGGTCACCTTTTGAGAATGCTTGGTAAGCAAGAAATATAAATAATCAAGCACAGAACCTAACTTTCCAGACACAGTGTATTTCAGAATACCCTAAGAGTTGACGATAGAAAATTCCTCTGTATAGAAATATCACAGATAGTAAATGAAGAAGGTAAATAGAATTACATCACTCTGCAAACTATTATGAAATAATAGATCTAGGCCATACTCTTTGATGTTACACAGCATTATGTGAAAAGCTGATGGGGAACTTTATAAAGGATGACAATATTTAAACTCATTGATCAAACTTAAATAACAAAAAAAAAAAAAAGAAAAAGAGAAAGAGACAACTAGACATTCAGTGTCAGCTTGTGTGATGTAATAGGATTTGTACAGCATCACCCCTGAAGAATCCTCACCGAAATAAAAAACATCTGAGCAAGCCTCTGTGTCCAAGGATCTAACTACCACTTTACAGCAAACATAGGGAATGGAGAAACGTCACCAAAGGAGGCCATCAGCCAAACCCAAAGAGTGGCTAATTCTACAGAAAAATGACCCAGTTTCCTCAGGAAATAATTACAAGAGAAAGAGAAACAGAAGGAAAACTTAGAGATTAAAAAAATACTTAAGAGCCCATATAACGGCTTTTTCCCAGTGGGCACTTCCCAATCCACTCAGTAAATGGGGGTCAAAACTCCAGCAGAAGTTTGCACTGTTGCTAAGGTGAACAGGGTCCGAGGCTGCC